CCTCTTTATTCACTCTTCCTGCAAATCAACTTCAATTATTATCAACCCAACTATATAACATCATTTTTATTCGAATAATTCTGCAAATAAATTCTCAATATCCACGTTCAATTTTACGTTTAAATCCACGTGTTTCTACGTAAAAAGGTCAACGACAATTCTGCATTACCCTCACGCGCGAGCCTTTGTCATGTAAACTGCTTCCAACGGTGCCGTGTGTATCCGTTTAAAAATAGTTTACAAGTGTTAACGAACTTTGAATGGGCTCTTTGACGAAAGAATTCTCTATTGTAAATTAGAAATCACCATATTTCGTGTGACATTGGGAAAGTGGTTATGCTTTGTGAACGAATTGGCATTAAGCAGATTTGTGGAGTGAATATTTTTTCAGTTAAGTATTTTACACGTGGATTTATGTAGTACATACAAGTATGGACATGATAATGGTTTAAATATTGGTACATAGCTTAAGTGATAATGTAAATGTCTGCAAGTTTTCTTAGTACGTTTTAAGCAAATAATTAAGCCAAATGGTTTAACAGATTTCAAAGTGGCTAAGCAAGAGCTACAAAACCACTAACAAAAACGTATAGATTCCTAAAACATTCATTACATGTCAAACTTCAGACATGATTTGCGGAAGGATCACAACATTAATTGAAATAAGCATTAATGAAGTGTAACTACTTTTTGAGTAATTAATATATGTGGCTCAAAAATCAACTTCTATCTATTCTGCATTGTACGGTATTCTAGAAGGATCTGCCGGCGGAGTCTCGTAAACATTCTGTTTTTCCTCAGGCTTATAGATTATCGCTACCTCAAGGCCACTTTATTTGTGCGAATGAAGTAATAGAAATCTCTAGTATGTAAAAAAAATGCTTAAACAGGTTTGTAATCTATGATTAAATTCTTGATGATCTAACCTACAGATACTATAGGCTACGAGAATCGGAACCGTTTAATTTTACTGTCACAAAATTAACTAGTTATGTATTATTGTACCAAAAGTACACCAATTTAACAACTTAAGTCAGCTTAAATAATGACAAGCAAGAAAAAGATATTTCAATTGATATGTTATCAATCGTTCAACGAACACTACACCAAACTAAGTTAAGTAGCTTGTATACATTACAAATATATTTAATAAGGAAAATAAATGTATTATTAAGTTTAAACTTCTGAGATATGTTAATTTATTTTTAAAATATATACTTGTAATAACATTTTATACAGTTTAGTTCATAAAAATGTTAAGCTATATGGAGGTTGAATATAACTTGTAAAAAGAAAACTGCTAAAGAGTCTGAGTTTAAATTAAATACTATAAACCAAAATAAATTTAAAAAAATCAAATGAACTGCTTACAAGCCTTTAAGCTTATTTCTTCCATATTTTCAAAAGGTCCACCTATTGACTTTGGATATTGTAGAAGGAATTTTACAACAGAAGAACATATAGAGAATGTGCTACTATTGCAATCATTTCCCTGTAAATCTTTTAGATAATACTAGTTATGGGGATACAAGATGTTGTGGCCAACAATAAATTATCCAATTTTTATTCCACGACTTAAGTTTTGGTGAGTAAAAATAAAACTTCTGTCCTTCTTCATTCTATCCTTTGTGAGTGGCTCAATCGAATCTAGTTCATTTTATTTATAAATTTATTGGCAAAACTTTATCATGGGGATGGAATGTACACTCAAACTAAAACAAATCTATATTTAAGAAATTTTAAAATAAATTTTTAGGGTTTTGAATAGTGAAATTCAACAGTAACACTTTTCTAGACTTCATTGTTTAGGTGTAATGTCTTTATGGCTCAATAAAACGAAAATTTGAGAGCACCTCACCACACTTCGGTAGAGGTTTGTTATTTTTATACGCCGTTACATTTTATGGCTCATTTCAAAGGACTCCTATTTCAGTTCACGTAGACTGCATGAATCTCTCTTTATATTATACTTGCATATAGCCTAATTTATAAAATTAGATTCTCTTAATTCATTTTAAAAGGTTTCTTTTTAAATATTTTGAAGAGTGTTTGAAGATGTAATACAATCCAATGGCATTCCATATGTTTTTCAAAGTAATAATATTACTGTATATAATACAGTAATACTAAATATATAAAAATTACTGTAAAGTAATTGTAAATAATACTGTTGTTTTGAACAATTATGTGGGTTTACTAAATTATGGTTTGCACAATAATAAAAACTAAAACCTAAAAATATCTTAGCGCACAGTTAGGAGGTGTGAAGCATTAAAAAAAATGAGGAAATTGATTTTTTAAATGATAGATTCATAAGCTTCCGATTTGTATTTGTTAACGAATTTCCCATAAAGGAAATAAGCTGTTACCATAGGCCTAATTGTAATACCCAGGACCCCCGGGACCGCTTTACTCTATGTATGTGTGTGTCTTTAGCACGATAAACCCACCTAAAAATCATCCAATTGTAACAATATGGTACACACGTGTTAACCGACGTTTATTCGAAGATGTTCGCTAACCAGCATTATTACACAATAGGAACAGGGTTTTGAGAGGTAAAAATTGGAATTTTCTCATTTTTGAACCCCAAAATATAAAATTTTTCAACTCATTTGGATTCCCAACCACGGGGTCACAGCATGATCAATGACTTTAAAACTATTGGTAATAGAAAAAATGTTTGGTAATAGAAAAAATGTTTGGTAATAGAAATATTTTTTGCGATTGTACCAATGAGCCAGCGCCCTTATCTTCTTAGATAATCCGACATAAAGATTTGTCATATGAGGTTTAATAAGTATTCTAAATTTTACCTAAGCCAAAATTTATTTTGGTTGTTATTTCGATTCTGATTTCATTTTTCATATTGATCGGAAAGGATTAAGTGGAATACATATTTAGTGAAGTTTTAGATACTTACAAACAGTTTAGGGAGGTAAAAAGGCTAATTGACTAATTTTCTAGCCCAACCTTATAAATAGGGAATATTGTTTATGTTTATGTTGAATGTACAAGTATAATTCTATCATCGTGACAATGTCGTTCAAAATAGATAAACAAACCCCTTCCTTATTGAGTAAACATTATTTTACCGGTATAAAATAAATAGAAAAATATATACAATTTAATCGACTTAAACATTCATGTCTGAATGATCAAATGAAAGCAGAAGATTTCTCGCCCCTACAGACGCGAAACCTAGTTAAGTTCAACAATACTAATGCTTCATCATGCTGCACTCGTGATGAGGGCCATGACCCCTTCGTAACTTGTCATTAGTAGAAGAGAAACTTCGCTGTGACAAAACATCTCTGATGGTGTGATTCACAAGATGATAGTGACGAGCAACAAGATGTTAGCTTCCGGAACTAAAACCGGAGGTGGAATTTTGTCTTGTGTGAAGCAAATAAAAAATGTAAAAAGATACCGTTTCATGTAAATTGTAACAGATGTCAATCTTTGTACGCATTTAAAGCGTTAAGACGTTGTTTTCTTGATGTGTTCATCGGTTTGTATGTTACATAAGACATATATTGACAATAGTTTTTTTAGATTTTGAATAGCTCTGTAGGGTCTAAACTGAAATATGTCAAAAAGTATAACACTCCCCTAGAATCTTGATTTGTCAGTCATAAAAACCGGTAAGTCATGTTTAAATTTGTGTAAAAAGACCTTTCTAGGTCTAATAAGTGTGTTGTTAAAATTCACAGGAAGCTATAACGCTCTTCACTAACTGCATAGTTAGGTTCGTTCTAAGTTAGAACGAACCCATGTGAAAGTAAATAGGTCGTTTAGCTCGTACATGTATTTGTTTGAATATGAACAGACTTTTTGTAATATCTACAGATATACAATGTGTCCAAACGACAAAGAGACCTCAACAGGAGGTTTGACTGAATTGGATAAGTAAATGTGTTCGAACTACTAATAATTATTAGCTTTGAGTGGTTTGAATACAATATCGAACGAAATCCTTTATAATTACTAAAATTAAAAGAGCAAAGAAAACATTTCTGGTGTATAATTGTGGTTAAACTAAGAGGCATTGATAATTGATTCAGAATAGGCTACTTATAGTTTTGTTATATTCGTGTTGTAGTTTACATAAGTTTCAAACATTATGTGATGATTTTCCTTATTTGTTTGAGTAACAAAGTTGAGATGATTTTAGGATGCATTGGAAATATTTTGAAAGGTCTATAGACTGATGGTTCGTAATTATGAGAACTAATATTATTAAATGTTAAAATTATTATGTTTATTGCAATCTTAGAGCGTTGTTGAGTATGAATAATAATTTTATTTATTTAATCATGTACTTACAACAAGCTATTCTAAATTTGGTTTGAATAGACAAATTAATTTAAATATGTAATCCTATGCTTACTCCGTTTTGCGGATTAGGCTTAGCAGGCGATTCAGTAAATAAATTCTTCTTGGTAATTATTAATTACTTGGTGAATTTTTAAGAAGCTAAATTTTTACTACCATCCAGAGAATTTTTAATTATTTGTGTTATTTAACACTTAGAAATACTAGTGGAACCCTAATGAGCTACATTTATTTTTCACTTTAGAAAAAAAATATAAATACAGAAAAACATTTTTATTAAAATCTTTCTTAAACTTTTATTTTTGTATTAGTAATTTTTACGTAAGCTGACATAAAAATTGTTGAAATTCAAGAAACAAAATATTAACCTTGTTTTAAACAGAATATTTGAATACTCATTAAAGCTAGAAAATTACAATTAAAAAAATGTTTAAAATTGGGCCTTATGAAGATGGGATATTAAGATCAATATCCTCAACATATTAAATTTGTCTATAAATATTTCTTCCTGTTTATTTAATTACAGTATAAGGACGAAATACACTGAGGAGTCTTAGAATTCGACCATCCGTGTGGATAAAAAAATTAAATAATTTGCCGCACTCAAAAACATCCTTACCTTAATTCAAATTATCTAGGTATTTTTAAAATAAAATCCAACTCACCCAATGAACGTTAGCCAATTTAACACTAGTCCGAGTAGCTCACACTCACTCACCGTACCCGACTGATCTTCGGCAAAGACTGGTTGACTGTCAGGGCGTTGGTACGGAGAGGAAAGTGGTCCATGACTCTCAGGGAGGGGGGGGGGTGCAAGGCCGTCCGAGAGCACTACCACTTTCGGTCTTTTTCGAAAGTCGGAGAAATGGCTTTTGTAACCCAGCCCCCGTGAGGCAACCCCCGCCATTAGATGGCACAAGGGTCTCCACCCGCACGAAATGGGAGTAATTGTCGTAATGAGCTTCTAGTTGGCATTCCTAGCATGTCTCTTATCTCAGCTAGGATGAGTGTAGAATTTTGTAAGAATTTAAAGTTATGAACTTGGTTTCTTTTCAAATTGCTAGGAATCTGGTTACACCCGTGTAGTTTAACCTGTTTCAAACCTGGTTTTCAAATTAATTTTACGGCATGTTAACATTAAGTCCGTTCAAATTTAGAGTGTGTAAATGTTTTCTTTAATTTTTTGGGAGATTGGCTGAAATTTAAAATTATTATGATTATTTACAACCTCTTTTCCTTAACTTTTGCCTTAAATTCCCTAGTATTATCATCAAATTAGTTAGACCCTTAAATTTGTTTGAATTAAGGGAGGACCATTTAGAAGTCAAAGCCGTTTCCAAATAAAACTCATACAAAAAAGTACATATCTTTCTTAGCAGATTTTACATAGAAGAAGTCGACGGTTTAAAAATATAAGCAACATTTTTGAACAAATATTTGAATACAAAAGTTTAAAATATTTACACGTAACCTTTGATAGCAACTACGGTTGCACTTACTTTAACAAACTTATGTAAAAAGTGTGTTAAACAATTATAACAGAAAACATCTCAAACTTGACAATTTAATGCTCACTTACATACTTAGCCTCACCAAATCTTGTAAAAGAACGATTTGGTACATATTAACAGACTAAAAGTTTAAAAAACAATCATGAAATTCCAAGACTTTACTTATATTTTTTAGTTCAAAAACATTTCAAACCACGATATGGAAGTCTTTAACATGAATAAATCCATAAACCAGAAACCCCTAATAAAATATTGGTAATTGTGTATTAGACACTTAAATTAAACAACTGAAATGGATAAAATTGAAACAAAATTTAACGCAGAGAACTTTGTTTACAAAAGTGTCCATTGAATACAATTGCAAAAGATAAATCCCCAGGCAGCGAAAGTGAACTTAGTATTCTGACACTTTCTAGTTTCAGTTATACAGTATCATTGCATAGCTTAAGTAAATTCTCGCTTTTCCTAAAGATATGTTATTTAATATATGTTACATATGTTATTTTAGAATTTATTTTGGACATTTTCCATCACTGTTAGAAAAGCAAAAGGAATTGTATTTTACTAATCAAAATGTAAAACGTCCAAAGATTTCTTAAATAATATAAAATTACCATCATCATATAACAACTTTAAACAAAGCGTTTCATTTTCTTCATTCATATGACTATTAAGAAATGTAGAGAATAACAAAGGTTATGTTATTTCATAATCAAGGTTGATATAATAAGATTTGTCGGATAAACGATTATTGTTTACTATCACACAGTCACAAAGAATATATTTTGAAGTTTATTGTAGTAGGTTTTACGATTATATAAAAAATATAGCAAATTCCTATTTTTTTATATATATATATTTAATCTATTGTTGTTTCTTTCTGAGATTTACGTTTTGAATATTGATGTATCTTACAGTAGGTAGACAAACTAAACAAATTGTCCAGCTATATATAGTTTTATAACAAAGAGAGCAAAGTTTACCATGGGGGGTGCTAATACCGAAGTTTTGTCTATTGGTTTTAATTTTTGTGACAGTCGTTTGGGAATTGCCTGGATTTTACTTTATTGTTTAAGATACGTTTCTCTTCCAGTTTGCTCTGATTAAAACATTGTAAAAAATAAAATAAACATGATTCAAAAGTGAACAACAATCTTGGCGGCTCAATTGAAAGGAGTAATAATATATTATTCTAAAACTCTAATGGGTAAAACAATGTTTGCTTTGTGGTATAGCATTTATAGTTAATAACATATTTTTACACAGCCTAATTAAAGAAAAGAGTGTGAATAATTTGAATCCTTAAAAATATGTAGGAATCAATAATTGGACATGTTAATGCAAATATATAAAAGAATTACGTATATTTTAAACATGTACAAAGCATATACAATAGTTGGAGGAATTTACCTAAGAGATTGCAATGAAACTTCAAGATCTATTAGGGACGAATTAAGGATCAAATATAATCATGGGAAATCCCTTGAAACCTAACGAAAAATCAACCCGTCCGCACCCTTAAATAAATCACCCTGTAAATTAGTGAGTCATATACTCATATGACATTTTAAAATATACAGCGACTCAAAACATAGCATATCTCCTACAAGATGAATGACAGAACCAATCCCCAGCCAACATCAATCCGAGTAGACATTGCAAAGTCAGCAACTATCTTTCTAGATCAATCTCGAACATGAATCATATTTAGTTCCACTATATGATGGGTTTGCGGATTTATGACCAGTGCTCGAAGTAATCAAGGGCTTTCCCTGTTTTTACACGTAGTCTTAAAAAGAAAGTGTCTACAGGCACAGGACATGATCTAGTGTTATGTAAGACACAAGATGAGTGACCAGGTCAGTGAAACTTGCATGTCCTGAAGCTCTGGGACAATTTTACAATTCATTTATCCATCCTGGCCTAGTTTGGATCATAGTTCCACTCATATACGAGACAGATAAACCAGAATATCAGTCTTAAATCCGGGTCTAATGTTAAGCACAATTTGCTTTATATAATGCGAGTAGAAATATTTCCCTTAAAAATCTACGGTCGGGTTTGGCGACTATTTATGTTCGGTTACTTAATGAACGTGAGTTAACAATTTTTTTCCATTTATTTGTTAGCAATTGTTTTTAATAATCAAGTTTAGTATGCAATTGTTATTGTTGTGTTAACAGTTGGGTTGTAGTTTGAGGATATTCAAATGCGCTATTCTAAATTTTTGTAATTTGTTAAACAACTTTTTAATTAGGTTGTTTTGACAATTAAACCTATCCTAGATTAGTTAATTTAAATAATCGCTATAGTTTTAGCTAACAATCCCTTGATATGATGGTATAGCTACTGGTGTACCTAACTATAAACAAAAAAGATATGCCTTTTATACCCGGTGAACGTATTGGGGAACTCTTTACTAAAACCCAAACCATGGTAATAAATACAAACTGAGCTCAATAAATCAAAGATGTTTTCAACAACCAATGTAAAATCCATAGATCAAAGAGGTTTCCGACAGCTAATGTAAAATCCGTGTAAAAATGATCTGAGAGAAAGCGGGGGTCGCGGTCTACTTGACGTAGATACCATCGATATTGCTAATTCCCACACTTTTGCTTTTTAATGCAAATCCCATGCAAAAACCTAGAAATTACCCTTCATCTTGAGTGACATATCCGGGCATTATAGGTTTTTAGAGACATTGATATCGTGCTGGAAGGTGATTAGAGTTGAAAACTTGGGGAATCCGTAAGGCTTAGCTAAGAGTAATTACACCTTTTTATTAGAATACAAAACTATTTTTAGTTGAGTGAAATATAAAAACCTTTAAAGTAATACTGACCAACTGGAATTGCGTCTATAGTGCGGTAATAGTTTGCGGTGCTAAATATAATGGAGTCTTGCGTTTAAGAATCCATCACTGATGGGTTTATGTTATTGAAAACGTCGTGACATAACTATTTAAAATCCTTAAGCAGTAAATCCCACATATTATTTTATTATAGTATTTTTCAAGTTTTCAATTAGCTAGAAAATTACATTAGAAAACTACGAAAATGTTCAATTTTTTTCTATTTAGTTAAAATAATTTACATTATTAGTTCCTGCTTCGTCTAGCTGTGGTATTGTACTTTTGAGCGGGAAAATTTCTCTTTTTAACATAGGAATACCGTTGTATTTTATGGTACACGTTCACTCCGGCTTCTTATCGGGAGGCGATATGTGACTGCTATGAATGGTATTCACTAATGACGCAAAGCTAATGTTGTTGTCGCGAAGAAAGAGCTTAGGGCGAGGAAAGTCCGATGGTTTCCCAAAGAATGAGTGTCGTTTTAAAATAAGACTTCCTAAGGCATCTGACTTGTACTTAAAATTATTGTATTTAAAAATGTCTGCAATTCTTTGCACTCTTCTAACAGGATGGTTCGAATCTTCGATTTTTGATGGTTGCTGATCTTAGTCAGTAACAAAGCTACACAGATAACCTAACAACATTCTACACTCATCCTTCAATCATATTTGGGTTAAAATTTGCACCTAGGTGGCGTCCCAATCTCAATCGATTATGATTATCATCCGGCTACAGAATATTTGAATCTACTGTAGAAAGAAACTACAAACCCACCATTAAATATAGAAAAAGAACTCAATTGTATAGCCAAATTTGATAATCCTTTTGGCTTTATTCAATTAATTTTGTAGCAGAATAACTTGAGAAATATTTAAGTTAAGTTAATTAAAGTAAAAAAAAATAAATAAAATAAAAAAAAAAACTAAACCTAAACAAGGTGGTTTAATTTTTCTCAATTGTTTAAATCCAAAAGTGTACCCTCGATACTTCACTAAGGAAAGTTAAGGACGTGAATAACACATATAACTTACCGGGTTTTTATCAAACTTTATTAACTTTTTTCTAAAATATAAGCAAAGTCGGTTTGATTATTTGCGTGTATACCACTAACCAGCACAAAATACATGCTTTGGGCAGAAACCATACCTTTATATAGGCTCCTGTATTTATTTTACTTAATATAATAGCATGATTTTATTAGGTTGGGAGACAAGAGACGTTCTCGTAGACAAATGTATCAGTGATTGTAACTTCTCTCCATTATATTTCAGATTTATTTAAGAAACTATATAGGATAAATCTAGTTTTGAAGACATACAATGGCACTTAACATAATAACTACATTTTAACTAGTAGATAAACCCTTTTGTTC